GAAGTTTTCAAATAAAACCCCAAAACCCCAAAACCCCGACAGTCACTACCTCTTTATAAAAATGAGATAAAATCTTATATAATCAATCGAAATTATATTAATTATTATTCAAACGATATATGCTATCACCAGTAGATTTACCTCAGGTCAGCTTATAACTCATTTTAAATAGAGTTTTATTTGAAAACTTCATCATTATCATTACTTCATGATTTACCTTGAGTTAGATCTAGTTTTGAAATCGAAAAAATAGGTATTAAAACACATTATGAATCCAAGTATTCCAACAGCTCCAAAGTAGAAGTTCATAGCAATATCAGATTCATTTACAAAACTCTGGATAATTGAAAAAATAAAGACCATGATGCTCTTATTTAGATTGTAAATAGAGAATGGCTCCATCTTAGTATCAAATTAAAATCCAAGCATTTCAGAAGTATGCGAGGATAGCGATCCATCATGGAATCCCCAGAAAAATGTCAATACACAGGATAATGGGATAGTAGATTTCACATTAAGCACAATTAAGGCAATTATCACACTAGCAATACATAATCCTACATTAATCAGACATGTCATTTTACTTCCAAGTTTATCAATTATAAATCCAATACTCAACGCCCCTGTGATCTCACCAACGCCTAATCCAGTCATAATCAAAAGCGATATCTAGCTTTTCTTATCTTCATCTGTGTAATCTTCACTTAGTCCTTTTACAATAATTGGAACGAGCATTCCAGTAGTTATAGCTACAACTATACCTCCATATAATAACTAGGGAATCAACGTCAGCATTCTTTTTGAAATCAGCAGATACCAAACTGCCTTAATATCATATATAACTCCTCTTTTTGCTTTTATTTAAAGTAATTCATGACTAATACTCTATGAGCTTAAGATAAGTTCATTTGTATCTGTATCCTCTTTTGTATTTGTGACTCTAGCCTCTGTTGGGAATGGCTTCTTTAGAAATATGAATAGAAATGATGCCAAGAAGCCTAGGCTTGCCATTATGTAGAAAAAATTTACACTGTTTTAAGCTCCGAGAACACTTGCACCAATAATATTTCCAATAATCTGAGATGACATATAAAATGCCCAGAAATAACCATAGAAGAAACCCTTTGTCTCTTCGTTAGCACAATCTGCAATATATTTTCCTTGTGCAGGCCACACCATGGAGTTCCCTATACCGCAAATAGCTGACATGATTAGTTAAAAGGGGTATATGAAATCTCTAGAGTATAGCCAGTAGTCTTTGTCAGAGGATTATGATCCATAAGCTGGAACTATGCAAGCCAAAACCCACAGAGACTTGAAAATAGCACCTACCACTAGACCAAACTTAATGCCCATTTTATTGATTGTAGCTGTAGAAAAAAAGCTCCCTATTCCATAAACTAGAAATAGCACAGCTATGTTATAAAATCCAAGTTCTCCATACCCAAATGATTTCATTATATGAGATTGTAGAATGGATGTTGGATTGCATGCGATATACAATATAAGGAATGTAAATGAGAGATGAGTAACTTAACACAAATTTCGATACTTCTTCGATACCATTTTAATAATATTTTGAGTAAAAAGCCAAATCATATTCAAAATGATTCAATACTATCATGAATTAATCATCATGGGGTTTTGGGGTTTTGGGGTTTTGGGG